AAACTTCTAAACAAAATTTTGATGGAATATTGTATCACTTAGTCAATGTTTGGATACTCAGGTACCATTTGCAATTTTATATCCAACAATGTATTTTTTAAAACCCTCCACATTAGTATGAAGTACCAACTTTGTTTTATAATGCAAATTAATTCCTTTGAAAGGAAACACATTTTTAAGATTATACATTTTAAGATTATATAGAAGTAAACGATATAATCTCATGTGTAGTTTTATGTAGTGCTATGTTTTGAAAGCCTGGTGCTTTACTTCCTTAAAAAGTCTTATTTATGAGATTTAGGGATGCATGATTTTTTTTTCCATATGTATAATTACTGATGAAACTGTAAGACTCATTAGCATACTAATTAGAATGGTAATCCCAACATACTCCTGTTTCCACAGTAAAAATCATGGAAAATGGTCTTGCAACATTCAATATTATGACAAACTTGAACACAATGAGTGACAAAAATTCGATGCCAAAAGTTATATGGAGAATTTCTATAATCTTTTTATTTTAAAAAATGTAGCTTTTGAACAGGGCAATCATTCAGTACAGGACTAATGTTTATGTGGGAGGGAAAAGACACAGAAAGAGGGACATAAGGAAAGGACAGAGGTGTGTTCAAGTTAATGTTGTTATACATTTCACTCAAGAAATAAAAGTGTTCTGGAATATGGAATGTTTGTAATTTTGCATAAATACGGTTAAAATAATATAGGATTTGAAGCCACAGAGACTTGGTTTGAACCTCAGGTTTATTACTTATTACATTCTTGACTTTGACAAGTTACTTAACCTCTGAGTCTTAGTTAAGCCACCTGAAAAATGGAGAATATGTACTAAGAACATTGCTGTTTATTTTTCATGATGAAAAAATATATAAGCACACAACTTTTTTTTCTAATAATTACCATATTAGGAGATAATCACTACAACTTACCTTCCCAATACAGCGACTAGATATACCCAGAATTGCCTGCAAACACTCGTATTCCTTCCATTATGCAGGTAGGTCTCACAATAAAATGACATGACTGATTAGAAAAATTATAGGTATTATGATTCATATATGGAAATCAACAAGCATGGAGGAGAGTATAAAAAAGGTGATTTAAATTCAGGTATATCAGCAGTGGCTAAAAACTCAAGCAATGATACCTGGGACCCAACAGTTCTTCAGGGAAAAAAGAGAAAAGCCCTAAGTTATACAAAATAATGGAACAGGAAAGTCTGGCAGTGGGAATGACTGTCAGCAGAGCCCTGGAAGAGTAGTACGAAAAATGGTGGAGTCAATCCAGTCAGCAACTCACATATTTTTCTTTAGCATACTAACCCTGACGTGCAGAACAGGGTTCGAGATCAGATGATTGTATAGGGTCAAAACCTGGACCTACACACTTTCCAGCTGTATGTCAAATTATTTAATCTCAGTTTCTCATCTATAAATGTGTAGTTATCATAACATTCAAGGGCCATAATGAATATTCATGGGGCTTATCATGTAAAGGACTTAGTTTAGAGCAGTGCCAGGATACAGTAAGCACTAAATACATGCACTCCATGCCTTCCAGGACACCCTTTCTTGTTCTCCTTCTACTTCTCTGGTCACTCCTTATTCTCTTAAGATGCACACATGAAGGACGCAACTCCAGGCATCCTAGCACAGAACAGCTGCTGTGAGGCTGAGAGCTCGGCAGACTTCAGAGGTCACTGAGTGTTGGAGTTTGGGCTCACCTAGAGGGGAGATTACTTGGTGAATACTGGTGGCATTGACTTCAGAAAATATACGCCTAGTAATAAAGACAATACTCAAGAAGTAAGAGACAGGAATAAGTGTGAAACTGAAATAGACCACCCCTAACAAAGCCTTAACTCAGGTTTTGACAGGATCAAGGTGATCTACAGTAATTTATTTTTCAGAGGAAGTGTCTAAAATGTACCATCCATAATTTCTGGCACAAGTAAAAATTATTAGATGTGAAAAGCATGGTAAAGTGACCAATAATCAAGAGATAAAATAATCAATAAAGGCCAACAAATGTGAACAAGGACTTCAACATAACTGTGAATAATACATCAGAAAAACATAGAAAAAGATGCACAAGATAGGTAGTATGGAATATTTCAACAGTTATAATCTACAAAGAAAATCAAGTGGATGTTTAAGAACTGCAAAATTTAGTATCGGAAATTCAGAATTTATTAGATGGGCTTAAAAGCATACTGAACACACTAATTCTGTTTATATAGAAGACATTAATTACAAATACAAAGAAAGATCAATAGAAAATATACAAACTGAAACAAAGAAAGGAAAAAACAAATGGGGGGAAAAAGCAGAACATGAGAAAGACATGTTTGGGACATAGTCAGAAAGGTTTATTAACAGTATGTATAACTGGAGTACTAGAAGGAGAGAAAAGAATAGGAAAAAGCAGTATTTTAAGAAACAATGGCCAACAATTTTCCAAGTCTGTTTAAGAACAGTGCCCAAAAGATTTAGGATACTCAGAAGACTGAAAGTAGTATAAATAAGAAATTCACACGGTAGAAATCAGTCAAATGGCTGAAAACCAAAGATTAAAAAAATAAATCTTAAAAGCAGGTTTCACATGATCTGGCCTCCAATACCTTCCTGATCTTATCTCTTACAATTCTCCAACTTTTTTTTTTTTAACTAATTCTCCAACTTAATCACTCCCTTCCTTGCTGTTCCTTGAACACACCACCTTACAGTGGCTGCTTCCTCTGCCTGGAATATTCTTCCCCAACATACTTAAAAATCATAGCCCACTTCCCATCAACTTGTGCACCCTCATCCCCACCCCATCCGCACCCTTAGACTCCCAATCACCCTACCATGCCTTATTTTTTTCCCATAGCACTTTCTATTTTCTAACTTATAATTTACTTACTATGTTTATTGCCTGTTGCCTGTCTTCACCCAATAAAAGGTTTTGTCAGAAAGGATAGGGATCTCTTGCTTTGTTCATTGCGGTACCTTGCACACATAGGTGCTCAATGATTATCTGTTGAATGAATGAATAGCTATTATTATATTATTACTATTATTATCTCAAGTCTTTTTAGTCACCAAATAATTTGTTCATGCCATGTCCTCCACTTGAATACAGCTTCCTCTGTTTACCTTTAGAAATGCTTTAGACATGTGATGGAGTGATACTATAGTGCAGTAGTTGAAAGCACAAACTCTGCTTATATATATACATACACATTCTGCATTTCCTATATATGGAACATATATGTATAACTCTTCTTTTGCAGAATGTAGACAAACAACCAAATTGATATCTTCATTACTAAGAATTACTAATTACTTCATTTCCAACTAATAATTATTAATGAATATATATATATATATAAAATCACATAGTAGCAGTAATATCAATCGTTTAGTGCTCTCATAGGTTCCAAGCATTTTACATATCAAAATACTTAATCCTTCTATCAACCTCATAAAAACCAACGCACAGAAAGATTAATTAATGTGACAATTCATACAGCAAGCAAGTGGCAGAGCCCAGATTTAGATCCATGATGATTTCCAATAAAAAGAATTTTTAGATTAGAAGGATAGTACTAAAGGTATGCAAATATACTAAATGCAGCAATTAAAGTCTATTTAAAAAACCAAACAAAATCTCCCTTAGCACTAAAGATTGAAATGTAGATATTAGTATATGTCACTAGGTGATGCTCTTTGTTAAATTTCTCTTTAGTAAGGTAATCTGAGAAATTATAACTCATTCCCATGGGAAAGAATTCATGCTAGATCAATAATAATTTAGTTGGCTCTTTAACCACAAAAGTTACATAGCTCAGAAAATAAACTTATAAGCAAAAAGGTAAACCACACAAATTTGTGGTAGAGAAATTTTCCGTAGATTGTAAACTTAGAGGCTTCTATATCATGAACACAATGTCTCTCTCTGTTTATCTTTTTCCAATTACCTCTCCATTTAATTTTAATGTCTTGATAGGATTTTATATTTTTGTCAATGGAGTTCTTGAGTATTTTTAAAATTTACTCCTAGTTAATATATTTTTGATGCTACTGAAATGATGATGATGCCATCTGGATCTTTACTTTTTTATGCTGAAATATTTTAAAGAAAATTGATCTTACACTCTTAAATATTTCAATATACATTTCTCAAATAATATTACTACACTTTAACAAAATGACTCCTTAATATCATCTATTATCCAAAAACCAAATAGTCAATAAATGTTAGAGGGGACTCTTATTAGTAACTGGGAAAACACAAATTAATAAAACAGACACATGTTGCATACACATGAAAAGGACAGAAATTTAAAAGTCTGATTCCAAGTGCTGGAAAGAATACAAAACACAGGAATTCTAATACATTGCTATGGGAAAGGAAGGTAACAATTCTTCTGGAAAGACAGCTTAACATTATGCAGTAGTAGTGAAGATGCAGATACCTAATGCCCTCTAGCACTGCTAGATATACCTAACAGAAAATGTACCAAGAAACAAGACATGTATACCAAGAAACACCTACATCAATGTTTGTGGAAGCACTGTTTATAACAGGCAAATCGTGAAACAACTTGGAGAGGATAAATAAATTGTGGTATGTAAATACAATAGAATAAAAACACAGTAATGCAAAATTAACAAATTAGAGCTCTTACAACAACATGGAACAATCTCATAAACTCCGTAAGAATGAAATAAGAAGAGATACAAAATAACATGCACAGTGTAAGTATTTTATATAAAGCTCAAAATCAATGCCTGACACTTATTTTCATATGACTCAGCAAATAAAACACATATCCATACACATCTATTCAAATATAAAGAAAATGTAGCAAAATGGTTAACAGCTGTGAATCTAAGTGAAGGGTATACAAAGGTTCACTGTACTATACTGTCACTTTTCTTATGGTTTGAGATTTTTCCAAAATAAAGAGAAAAAAAGTTCAAAAATCAGACAAAGCAAATTTATATGTTTAATCCATTTGATTGTCATTTTCTGTGTCACTGAAGTCAATTTCAAAATCTAAATCGTCACTTTCTTCATTTCTTCTGCAGCTTTTCCTGTGGTTGGAACATAGATGATTTTCTATATCTTCTGGTTCTTTATTAAACCTAAAAATGGAAGAAAAAAATTCTATTTATTTCTCAGGGTTTCATTATTTAACTGTATAGACTGAAAAGACCTGCACACTATATTTCTTGATTAACAGGAGCTTAATAAGTAAAGAGGAAAAGAGCCTTGAAGATTCTTTTGTAATGTGTAATAAATATGAACCTCACAGATAAACATTTTAATTTCCTAAAAATAATGTTTCACTTTTATCATAATGATAGAAAAATTTAACAATTAAAACTTTTTTTTCCTGTTAGGTAGAAAATGTCTACAGTAATGTGATATGTAGTGCATCTTAAGACTCAGAGCTACTGAATGTTTCCTCAAAAGAAAATTCACTTATCAATTACAAAAACAGTAAACCCCAAACATAAAAAGAAATACTCACGGAATAACAATGTCTTCTTTCTTTCCACATTTGGCACAAACTTCGAGTTCACAGGCACATGGTCTACACATTATGTGATAAGAATCCTTTACTGTCTTTTGTAAACATTTAACACTAAAAGTGGAAAAGAAAACCAAATCTTAATTTTTACTATTTATCTAAGATTTATTTGATGAAATAAGTGGGGGGATATAGCTAAATATATAGCTGATAAGCCTAAAAATCAAAACTCCTAGGTTTCAATCTCAGATATTTCTCTCACATATTACTTAACATTAATTATAACATTCCCAGACAACAGCTTACAGCTACAAAATAATAGTACTTGATATTTATCTACTTTCCTAAAGCTTTTAAAAAAATGTCACCTGCAAATAGTTATAGTTTTACTTCTTCCATTTTAATTTGGATTCGTTTTATTTCCTTCTCTTGCCTGATTGCTCTGGCTAGGAATTCCACTACTATGCTGAATAAAAGTGGCGAGTGTGGGCATCCTTGTTCCTGCTCCTGATCTTAGAGGGAAAGCTTCCAGCTTTAACCAATGAGTATAATGTTAGCTGTGGGCTTGTCATATACCCCTTTATTATGCTAAGACATGTTCCCTCTATACACACTTTGTTGAGAGTTTTTATCATAAATGGACACTGAACTATGTCAAATGTTTTTCTGCTTCTATTGAGATAATCATACGATTCTTATCCATTTTGTTTATGTGGTTATAATATTGATTGATTAAAGGAATCTGAACCATGTTTATACTCCTGGAATAAATCCCACCTGATCATAGTTAACGTATTACTGAGTGTATTGCTGAATTAAGTTTACTAATATTTTGTTGAGGATTTTTGCTTCTATGTTTATCAGGGACATTGGCCTGTAATTTTCTGTTCTTGTGATATCCTTACCTGTTTTGGTATCAGAGTAATGCTGGCTTCATTAAATGAGTTTGGAAGTATTCCCGCCTCTTCTATTTTTTGGAAGAGTTTGAGAAGGACTAGTATTAATTCTTCTTTGAATGTTTAGTAGAATTTACCAGTGAAGCTGTCTGGTCCTGGACTTTTGTTTATTGGAAGGTTTTTATTTGCTAATTCCCTTTCCTTACTAGTAATTGAATTTTCAGATTTTGATTCTTCATGGTTCAGTCTTGGTAGGTTGTATATTTCTAGAAATTTATCAATTTTTTGTAGATTCTCAAATTTGCTTATGTACAATTGTTCATAGCAATCTCTTACAATCCTTTGTATTTCTGTATTTCTGTGGTATCTGTTGCAATATCTCCTCTTTCATTTCATACTTGATTTATTTGAGGTCTCTCTTTCGCTTGGTGATTCTAGCTAAAGACCTGTTAATTTTGTTTATCTTTACAAAAAACTAGTTCTTAGATTGATCTTGCCTATTGTCTTTTTAATTCTTATTTCATTTATTTTCACTCTGACTTTTGTTATTTCCTTCCGTCTACTAACTTTGGGCTTCATTTGTTCGATTAGCTACTTCCTTTAGGTATTCAGTTAGGTTGTTTAAGATTTTTCTTGTTTCTTAACGTAAGCATTTATTGCTAGGAACTTCCCTCTCAGAAATGCTTTTGCTGAATCCCATGTTTTGGTGTGCTGTATTTTCATTTTCATTTCTCTCAAGGTATTTTTTTAAAAAAATTCTCTTTGGTTTCTTCTTTGACCCAGTGGTTGGTCAGT